ATTATTACATTTGAGCTGTTTATGGAATATTTTGTGGCTACTATGCTGAATCTGGATTGTAAAAAGCGGTAGGTGCCACCCATAGTTGCCACTGTGAGCTGGTTCTTTTTCTTTAAATAAGGTGAGCAAGATATTATTTGATGCATACTGATTTTGAGATATTGCAACATTAGTGGTTTATTTCCATTCATTATTGGGAGCATAAAGGTATGCCTACTAAAGTATGTAGTGTACCAGCTAAAAAATACAGACACCATCAACATTAGAGCTGATTACCTATAGGCTCCAACAAATGTAAACACAGAGAAGCGTTGATCTGCATTTCATCCTGTATTAGTAAAGCTATATTGAACAATTTTTGCTTCTTTCTTTAAAAAAAAAAATCACTAAAATTCACGTTATTAGCATGTTGTTTGTGTATGGTGTCTTTGGACAAACATATATTAGTGTTACCTCAGCTTATTTATATTTTATTTGATCATGTGTTTTATTTGTAGTCATTTTAAGCGCCTGTACTCTTTATATTCACTGTAACAGAGTACCTTCAGTACCCTCTGATCGCGGCATTGATCCTACATCCAAATGACATTTACTCCTGTTTGAAAAGTTAGATATCAGGGTCTTTACACAATATCATATGAAATCCCATAAGTAACTTGATAATAAAGCCTATGTGTTTACTGTTCCTTTAATAGAATCAATTAGAAAAAAAACAATATATTGCTGTTTGTATTGCTTGTAATAGCTACAGACACAGACCTAAATAACAAATGTTTTGGCACTGATTAACAGATAACTTGGGAAAGTAAAACTAAAATGTTTTTATTAGTAGTTTTTGTTTTTTATGCTATATTAAATTTTATATTCTGTATTGGTTTGTTGAATTAAACAGTATTATGAAACAAATCACAGAAACAAAGTACCCACATGTATATCATACTTAACAATCCTAATATAACGTTATATAATTTAAGTATCATTAAATATATGTGCACTAATATGTTTCTGTGGGAACTCTCTTAAGCTATTAAAATGTTATATTTTTTCCTTTAACCCCTTAAGGACGTATGACATGTGTGACATGTCATGATTCCCTTTTATTCCAGAAGTTTGGTCATTAAAGGGTTAAAGCGGGCATTGCATATAAGAGGTCACAACATAAACTCACTGGATGGATGATTGGGCCTGTTAAAAGGACACTATAGGCATTTAGACCACTTCAGCTCCCTTAACCCTGCAGTTGTAATTATTGCAGTTTTTGATAAATTGCAATAATTATATTACAGGGTTAACTCTACCTTTAGTGGCTGTCTATCAGACACCTCTAGTTGGTTAGGCGCTATGCTATGAGGACATATACAATGCTTTTCTATGGGGAGCAATTCTAATGCAAGTGTGGCCAGGAGGAATGGAGGCGGAGCCTGAACCAGTGCCGAGGGAAATCATCACTGGAATCAAGTAACAGAAGGTGTTTTTAACCCCTTCTGTATCACAGGGTGGGGGAGAAATAGAGGGGAGCACTATAGGGAGCTATATATAAACAACTTTATTTTCCTAGCACTATAGTTTCCCTTTAACCCCTTAAGGACTGGACTGTTTTTGCGATGTTGTACATTTGCGACCAGGCATATTTTTACACTTTTGTGGTGTTTGTGTTTGGCTGTAATTTTCTGCTTTCTCATTTACTGTTCCCATACAAATTATATATTGTGTTTTTCAGGACAAAAGGGGCTTTCTTTACATACCATTATTTATATAATCTCATGTATTTTAATTTAAAAAAAATACAAAAATCTGATGAAAAATTGAAAAAATACATGTTTTTTGACTTTTACTTGAAAAATCTTTTACTCATCTACAAAAGCGAATGAAAAAAACTGCTAAATAGATTCAAAATTTTGTCCTGAGTTTAAAAATACCCAGTGTTTACGTGCTTTTTTGCTTTTTTTGCATGTTATAGGGCTATAGGTACAAGTAGGATATTGCGGTTTCAAAACATACATTTTAAAAATTTATCAATAGTGACATTGTAACACTATTATCTGTCATAAATCTCCGAATAACACCCCACATGTACATATTTTTTTTAAAGTAGACAACCCAAGGTATTCAATATGGGGTATGTCCAGTCTTTTTTAGTAGCCACTTAGTCAAAAACACTGGCCAAAGTAAGCATTCATATTTGTTTGTGTGTGAAAAAAGTAAAAAAACTAAATTGAACGCTAATTTTGGCCAGTGTTTGTGACCAAGTGGTTACTAAAAAGACTGGACATACCCCATTTGCAATACCTTGGGTTGTCTTCTTTTGCAAATGGTATGCCATCATGGGGGTAATTCTCATTCCTGGGCTACCATACGCTCTCAAAGGCAACGTAACCAACCTGGCCATTTTCAATGTAAAAATATTTGACCCATATATTTGACCTTGTAACTTTCAAAAATGCTATAAAACCTGTACATGGGGGGTACTGTTTTACTCGGGAGACATCGCTGAACACAAATATTAGTGTTTAAAAACTGGAAAACGTATCACAACAATTATATCATCAGTAAAAGTGCTGTTTGTGTGTGAAAAATGCAAAAAAAGTAACTTTCACTGACAATATCATCGCTGTGATATGTTTTACTGTTTTGAATCACTAGTATTTGTGTTCAGCGAAGTCTCCCGAGTAAAACAGTACCCCCCATGTACAGGTTTTAGGGTGTCGTAGAACGTTACAGGGTAAAATACAGTGCTAGCAAATTAAATTCTCTGGAATTTCGGCCTGGGTTGGCAGGCAGGTCCCTCAAATTGCAATCAATAAAATTACTGAATTATGTAAAAATATTACATAAATACGCACGTAGAATTTAAATATATATGCATATTTATATATTTGAAGTCTACGTGTATATTTATATAATTATTTATGTAATTTTGTATATGGACGTATGTATATTTCTTATTATTTTTATTTATTTTTATATACATAGATATATATACAAATTCATTCTAAGTGTATTTTGATATAAATATATATATATTAATTTTAAAATACAGTTAGAATAAAATTTCATATAGCTATATAATTTTTTTAAATTTTTTATTATTATTTAAAAAATTTTTATTTAATTTAAATTACTTATTATTTATATTTTATAATAATATATATATACAATATATATAGTTATTATATATATTATATATATACGTGTGTAATTTAATTATAAGTGTATTTTTATATTAATATAAGTACATATTAATATAAAAATACACTTAGTATGACATTATATATATGATATATAGACATATATTATATAGATATAATATATGTCTATATATCATATATACACATATATAATTATTTATTTATTTTTTATTAACATTAACTTTATTTTTATTTTTGATTTTACACAGCAGGGAGACTGCCTGTCAGCACAGACAGTCCCCCTGCAGGCAGACACTGGACACCTATTGTGACCATGTGATCGCTGTGTTAAGCGATCACATGGCCACAGGGGTCCTAATTCAGTGTGGGGAGACTGTCTGTCTGGGCTGCAGGCAGTCTCCCCACAACCGGAGCCACGCTGATCGCCGCCGGGGGAACGACGGCGATCAGGTAAGTAGCTCTGACCGTTAGGACGGTTCAGGACCGTCATCGGTCGGCAACGCAAAAATGCCGATGACGGTCCTGAACCGTCCTCGGTCCTTAAGGGGTTAAGGAAAGGAAAGTGGATATCTACTTATCTCAAGTTCCACACTCTCTATTTTGCCATCTTTTTTATCAGGGCTTGGCAGATGAGGAAAAAAGGAGTCATATAAACAAATATGCAAGATTACACACAGACGGTCCTGTGAATTTGTATTATTTTTTCACAAAAAGAACATGAAACAGGAATATGCATTTCCCAGAACTCATAATAGCCAATTGTAATTATGGGAAAACTGTTCATTAATTTTACTTTGATCCAAAGACATATATAAGAAAACTTACTGGGGGCAGGGCTTGGAAATCATACTAGAGAGTCGCAAATTGTATGAGCTTTACTTGGACTCTCCTGCACTGGTGTCCTCATCTGCCACCATGAAATAATGGGGGTAAGCTTGTGGTGAGGTCAGAATCTCGCCATTTTCGCACAGAGTAGTGGTGGCCCTGGTGCTTCCTCGGCAGGAGAAGCGGCCGGTCTCCCCTTCCGAAACTTCCCTAACTATCTTGTCTGTGGTCATACAGATCCCTACACTCCTCTCCTCTGGGCAGGTGTGGGTCATCTTGGCCCCCACCAAGTGACTACTTACCTCTGCACTGAGCCTGAGTGGCTTTTCCAAGATGGCTGACGATTCGGCCATGGCAGCCCAACAGTGGAAAGTGCAATTCTCAGCCTCCTTTGAAGCAATATGTTAGCCATTCTGAAAGGGCTGGGAAGCATGGTGATACCAACCTACGACACCCACGCCTCAGATACAACCTCCAGCCCATGCTATGGATCAGAGGCCCCTCCCCAGCATGAAACCAAAAAGCTTTGAGTGGCCAGCTATGGTCCACGCACCGGGGTGAAACAACACCACTCGAAATCCCAAGGCATCCTCCAGAGATACAAAATAGATTACAATATTGCACTATTATCTACTATTTTATTCCCCTTAGGACACATTATAGGAATGTACCTATGTAAAGAATTATTTGGAAAGTGCATGTAAGATACTCCGCCTTATTTTCGTTGTGTTTGTATTCCTTTTTGGGTGAAGGTTAAGGGGACCTCACCAGGGTGTTAGAGTTACTTACATATTTGCACTTAGCATATATTGGGTCACTGTAATCTATTTTGTATTACTGCTTGTATTCCCCTTTCAGAGGACCCAGTTAGCTATATTGAACAATATGTCATTTCTTGAAAATAGAAACTATAGAACAAGTAATATTGATACATGCTTTGATAGAGGTATAGAATGGCAAGGAACCTCAAATCGTATTGGGAAAAAACAATTTAGATTTAACTTGGAGAATGCCCTAATAAAGGAAATGAAAACAAAGTGGGAGATAGCCACTCTCAAAAAATATGTCAGGGATCAGATTACTCCAAGGGGTCTTAGAATTTTTAAAGACCCTAGCTTTGATAAGGATGACCCACATTTCATGGCAGGATGGAATAAGCTACTAGATGGCTTTTCATTCAGTACCATGGGATATATAGTGGCGAGAAGGGAGGAGAACCTACCTAAACTGGATGAAGAGATTAACAAATGGAAAGATCTCTTAATAGAATCCACAAGCCCTGAAATTTACAACAGCATCTTAAGGGAGATTAAAGAGAAAGTAGACAGGATAGAAACAGAGATTATAGATATAAAAAGAAGCAAATACCAGAGAGATAGAAACGACTATGAAACAGGGAAGGTGAGGAATCCTAAACAGAAGGAAAATAGTAATCAAAATAAAAACAAGGATACAAAAAGGAGCTATAGAGGAAAATTCCGCCAGAATGCATATAATTCACAAATGTGGAAACAAATGAATCAGGAGAGACCGGAACATAGGGTCTCAAGAAGTAGAGCGAGGGAATTTAGAAGAGATGATAGGGAGCCACCCCATAGATATTCACCAAAGAGAACCGTAACAAGGATGGAGGGGGAAAAAAATAGGAAGAGACAAAATTCACGGTTCGTCTTAGGGTCACAGAACCAACTTACCACACCTATTAGAAAAGAGCCGTACTATGAAGGGAGTCACACAATAGCAGTAGGAGATCGTACAAACAGAGATCATACGAATACTCAAGAAGCAGGGAGACATCACTACGTCACCAAATCTAAAACGTATAGTGATGTGGTAAAAGAAGGCTCGTATAATTACCAGAAAAAGAACCAAATGGGGAAAATATTGAACGCAAGACAAACCAATAGTGATAGATTAGAACCTATTTTGATGAGGAATAGAAGTATAAGTAAATCGTTACCTCCAGATACTCCTCCGTCACCTTCTTTTTTTCGGAGGGATCTGATACAGAACAGAAGGAAATGGACAAACGATGTACAATTATGGGACATGCAGGGAAAAAGACAAAGATCAATGGAAGAAGAAGAAGAAAGAGAAGAGCTAGAAAGGAGTCACAGGGAGAAGAGGGGAAAGACATCGATTTGAACGGAATTTTTAATATTGCAGACGAACCACTAACAAAGGAACAAATAAACATCCTAAAGAAAGGTCTAAAATTTGCCCCAACTGCGGATTTTAATGCGTTTAATTTTTTTACAGATATGAACCATTTTATTAGGAAATTATGTTTAAAGAAATTTTTTTATAATAGGACGGAACAGATGCCCAAAGAAAAAGATAGTATGGACGAATATCAACATACATCACTTAAAGAGAAATCACAATTTTTTCCTCGTCACTTTATTTCCCATGAAATAATAACTTTTGAAAAAATGGTTATGAAAGAAGTAAGTAAATATAAAAAAGAGAATAAATATCAACAAAATCTAACAGTAGGAGAGAAGAAAGCATTAAAGGAGATAAGAGATAACTCCGACCTGATAATCAAACCAGCAGATAAGGGAGGCGGAATCGTGATGCTCAATAGACCCCAATACCTGAAGGAAGCAATGAGGATCTTATCAGATTCCTCAACGTATAAAAAACTCACACACAATCCCATTAAACAGATTGTTAATGTATTTAAGGAATATGTAGAGAAAGGGAAGGACCTAAAGATACTAAATGAAAAAGAAGCTGAATATTTATTTGTAACATCCTAAAATTCCAGTTTTTTATCATCTCCCAAAAGTGCATAAAAACATCACGGAGCCCCCCGGTAGACCTATAATATCAGGCATAGACTCTGTCTTCACGAGAGTGTCCGAATATATAGACACTCTCCTACAGCCTTTAGTTTTGAAAAACCCGTCGTATCTTAAGGACACAATTCACATGCTGCAAATTTTGGAAGACACAGTTTGGCAACAGGGTTACTTATTAGTAACCTGTGATGTTACTTCCTTATATACTATAATACCCCACGAGAAAGGAATGGCAGCAGTACGGCATTTTCTGTCCAAATCAGATTTCAAAAGTGAACAGATAGATTTTATTCTAGAGGGCATCTTTTTAATTTTGACCAACAATTTCTTTTGGTTTGAAGGTGAATTTTATCTCCAGATCTGTGGAACGGCGATGGGCACCAAGTTTGCCCCCAGCTATGCTAATTTATTCACGGCATTCTGGGAAGAGGCATTTGTCACCCAGGACCATGAGTGGGGGGTGTACTTGGTGTCCTATCGCCGTTTCATAGATGATATATTTTTCATCTGGACAGGCAATCAAGATCAACTGAACAATTTCATTACGTATCTTAACTTGAATGATTGGGGAATTCACTTAACGAGCTGTATTAGTGAAAAGAAAATAAATTTCCTAGATTTACATATCTACATAGAGGACGAAAAGATCAATACCAAAAATTATTTTAAACCAGTGGACGCTAACGGGTACATAGAAAAAAATAGTTGCCATCATAACCCGTGGCTGGAGAACGCACCAAGAGGCCAATTCTTAAGGATTTGAAGAAACTGTAAAAAAGAATCTGATTATATAGAACAGGCCAATTATATAAAACTGCAATTTATAGAGAAGGGATACAGCAAAGAAATTTTAGAGAAAGACATCAAAGAAGTGAAAGAAATACCAAGAAAGGAACTCATAAAATATAAATATAAATCCAAAAAAGAACAAGGAAATACCAGTGATATATTCTTTATTTGTAATTACAATGGACGGAATAAACAAATAAGGAAAACAATTAAAAAGTATTGGCACCTATTACAAGATGAACCTATCCTTAATAAGATTTTACAGCCTGAACCCAAAATTATCTATAGAGGCGCAAAGAATTTTAAAAATATTCTAGTTAAGAGTTGTCTTAGCCCTAAAAAATCCAGCCATTTTCTAGAGGACCTAAAAGGTTTTTATGGATGCGGAATGTGTCTGCCTTGCAGAACAACTAATAGCAAAAAAAGGCACTTAAGAGATATAGGACACATTGTAAAAAAAACCCTACTGCATAAAGGACCACTTAACTTTTCATACAAAAGGAATTATATATATTTTGAAATGTCCATGCGACCTATTGTATATAGGTAGAACGATTAGACCATTGAAAGTAAGGGTTGCGGAACACATTAGAAACATCAGAAATGGGTTAGAGACCCACAGTGTTCCGCTCCACTTTAAAGAAATGCATGATCAAGATCCGAGCAATCTATTTTTCTGTGCCATAAAAGAGGTCAAAAGGGATTGGAGGGGCGGAGATTATATACGAAAGTTAGGGAAAGAAGAAATGAAGTATATTTTTGAGTTTAATTCCCTAACCCCGCATGGTCTTAATGTTGATTTTGAAGTGTGTCATTTTTAATTGCTCTCTTTTTTTTTTTTCTAAAATGACCATATTTGAGATTTTATTCCATTTCATTTTATTCCATTTTATTTGTTTATTATATCCATATGTTGAATTATGGAGGTATATACCTTTAAGGATGTTGGTGTTTTTAAATGTTAAATTTAGGCTGCAATATTGTCTTTTTAGAGATATGTGAGTTTTTATTTATATAATTATATTTTTATACTACCACAAGCACAATCAGTGGTGTGTATTTTTACACTTTTAGATGATTTCTGTCAGCACACCCCTTTTGTTTTCCTTATGGCAGCTAAAGCGAATAATATCTTTTTCCCCCCTTTTTTTTATGTACGAGTCCTATGTAAGGGGTATGCTTTTATATATGAAGTGGGAAAAAAGAGAAGAAAAAATGGACATATAAGGTAGAACGCATAAAGCGTTCTAAATAAGAGACGTTGGGGGAGCCCTGAAATGCGTCCCAACGGTGGAACGCAGAACTAAAAAGCCGGAAGAGAAGAGAGACCCTACAGGAAACCCATATGCGTCGTCTGTGCGTTCCAAGGGTGGAACGCAAGGATCGGAAACCGGAAGTTCGGCGAGCCGGAAATGAAGAAAGGGATGATGAAAAAAGCGGCAATAGATGGCTTTTAAAAGCGAAGAGAGATCTAGGAAAACCTACAGCAACGGAGGAAGCCCCCTGAAGGGGCGAAAAGCGTTTTGCTATTAAGACTATTCAACAGAGATTGTAAGGTCTTTTATTACTGTTTTATTTCTTTTGATTTGAATAAATATCATTTTATTTTACTCCATCTGCGAACCTGTGATTATCCCGTACAAGGATCCCGGAACACAGAGGAGGGAGTGGGACCCTTTACATCCCACAAGGCGAATTACTTGAGCCCAATTCATAGTGGCTCCACCTTTGTGAGTTTGCACTTGTTAAAACCTTATTGTATTTGTGACATTAACAGTATAGACAATATTGCACTATTATCTACTATTTTATTCCCCTTAGGACACATTATAGGAATGTACCTATGTAAAGAATTATTTGGAAAGTGCATGTAAGATACTCCGCCTTATTTTCTTTGTGTTTTTATCCTCCCAGAGATAGCGGGAGAGATATATGCACAATGAGTGCTGGATCCCAATGTGGTAAAGGGCTGCAGTGACTATGCACGATGCGGTGCTATGGGAGGCATGAAATTCTCGAATTGTCTACTTGGACGCAGTCTGGCTGATACAAACGTGGGTTGAGTGGACTGTATTCCGCGGCCTGAGCATATACTCAGGCTCCCACTTTGTCTCAGTTGCCGCTTAGAATCTCTATACTTGCCTACTGTTCACTACATAATAGTGGTTGGCCTATACTATGCCTTTACTATGACATTATTAAATAGAGAGAGAACAGGGACACTGCACCCTGACCACTTCTATAAGATACAGTGGTCTGGGTGCCTATAGTGTCCCTTTAAATTGATAATGCCACTGTGTCCAAGATATCAATCTCTTTAAGCCTTCCACATACATGTTAGACATATAATCTAAAATTGTATTTGCTCCCCTTCGAATAGCATGTTTTGTGGAATATAATTTTTACTTTGTGTTATATGGGAGATTAGATGTAAAATTTTTTACTTGGATTTTAGTTGCAAATCCAGTGGCCTTTTTATGCTGTCCTCTCACATCCTAATTAATCATTAATAATAACCAAGCATTCACGTAACAAATGAGAAGGGGATTTTTATTTAATAAAAGCATTATTTAGGATGATTCACTTTAAATAAGACACTCTAGGGAACTGCTTGTTTCCTCTTTGCGTGATATGTACTGCAAGATATTTACAGAATAAAATGTCCCATTCCTCCAACATCAAATATTAACTAGTATGTATAACAATAAATATCCTTTTCCTCACTCGATAATAATTTGACAAACACACTAAAAAATAACAATAACAATAGCTTATATTAAAGGAACACCTAAGCACAATACGCAATACAGTGTGCTGTAGCGGTTATGGTTCCTTTATTACTTCTGACAGAAACCCAGAAGCTCTCTGTGTCAGCTAATCCCTGCAGTGAATAAATTCCTGGGTAAGAAATATGTATTCTTATTCCAGGAAGACTAATGAAAGATTATTCAGTTTGAGTTATACCTTGGGCAACAACATAATGTATCTCAGTGTGTGCAACATTTCATATTAAACACACACATGCAAATACAGGGCCCTTGTACCATGACCAATTTAAAACACTGACAGTATCATTGTGCTTGGAGTAATACTTTAAAGGGATATTCTAGGCACCATAACAAGTTTGAACTAATTAAGGGATGTTGGTGTATATATCATGCCTCTGCAGTCTCACTGGTCAATTCTCTGCCATTAAGGAGTTAACTCACTTTGTTTATGCAGCCCACAACCCCACCTCCCCTGGTTGAGTCTCACACAGGCTCCTAGAAAAGAATCTACTTTTTTTTTTAGCTTCCAACATTGTACAGTGTATTTTATGTATTTCTTCTCGCCTGCTCTGTTACTTGGCTGTTAGAGTTTGCAGGAGCCTCCTGTGTATGAGTAAAGTGCAATTAACAGAGTAGGAGGTAACTTTTAAAATAAACACACTAAGCTATAATATTGGTTTGAACAAGGCTATTCACTAAGTGTGAATTGCCAGGAATTCAAAATGAATTTCAAACTTTAAGCCAAAATAGTCAAATTCAAAACAAAGAACAAAGAATTTTTCAG